GCTGTCACTATTTAAACACAGAACTATAAGCACTGAAAATATTAAATTTTTACACCCACCTAATAATATAACTAATCAAATAAAAATTTAAAGCAATATATTTACGATTTAGCTAATACGCGATAAAAAATAAAAAAATTTATAAACAGGTAATATCTTTATATACTTTGGGGCCCATTCGGGGGTCCAAAATGGGTCCCGGGGAAATTTTTTCCTTGTTTGTTCAAGAAGTTTGCCCCAGTGTGAAAAACCTCCGGGAAAAATAAATTGGAACTCAAGTGCCCCTGGTAATGGACAATGCACTGCTTATCCTACAGTTTGGATTCCCAAAATTTGGGGAGGATTTCATTTCACACAGTGCAGTTTTTGCCCCCCTATACCATCTTGTCCTCCATGGACCCAGATCATTTCAAACTTCAAAAACATCTACACCAAACAATCTTTCAAAGGTGTTTTGAGGGGATCTCGCACTCAGTTGACCCAAGAAGTTTGGAAAGATCACTTCGTATCCTCCCTGCATAAACCATAATTTTGGAAAGGTTTGGGAGGGAGTGACTCCCAAGATTTTTGAACTCTGCCGGGGAAAAAATTGGGGCCGATTTTTAGCGCTTCTTTTTTTTAATAATAACGTGGCCAGTTTGTGTCCAAAAGGGGATTTTAAAGGGGTTTTTGGGGCTGACCCTGAGGACCCTATCCAGTTGTGGAATCACTGGGCAGGGGGAATTCCATGGGGTTGGATTGAATAGGAAGATTGGAAGACTTGGGGAGGACCAAATAAGACCTAACCCGAAAGCGGGAGAGCTTCACTGGAACGTCAGACCACAGCCGGGAAATTGCTTAAGGGGAGGAGGGAAAAAAAAGGGAAGAAGGTGCCCTTCTTCAGAGTTTAAAGGGAGATTTGTGCAAGTGGAGTGGGGATGGAAAAATTTGTGGAGGAACTCACCCTGACAAAGCTTTTGCAAGCTGTGGGCAACATGTACAATGAAAATGCTTGCCTTCTTCGAGATTAAGGAATTTTGCAATGTGGAGTAGATAAAAATTTTGTGAGGAACACACCCGACAAAGCGTTCAGCCGTGTCGGCAACAAGAAACAATGACAAGTTTTGTCCCTTTTTAGGAATTTTTAAAGAGATCCCAGAAACAGAGCTCTCTGGACAGATATTAATGCTACAGGTGTGCAGTGACTCCAAGCTGGTCCTGATGGCTTTAAAAAACAAAAAAGGGGAAATAACCCAAAAAAAGCACCGGTCCCTAAGTCTTTAGGGAAAGGGGATTCCCCTTCCAAACAGTAATTAATCCTTTTCTCTCCCCCTTCTGTTTTCCAAACAAGAAGAATTGCCAAAAAAAGGTAATTCAGCATTTTTATTTTCTTCTTCGGTCTCATTTTTGGCTGTGTATGTACATCTATATTTCATGTAAAAAAAATTATTTTTTTTTAATACTTTTGGGTCCGGGAATGGATTTTTGGGATTTGCATTATTGTTTTTGGGGGAAAAGGGTTTTGCAAATCTCAATTTTTATATTAGTCACACTCTGAAACGGAAAATTTTCAAAAAAACGAGGCCCCACTGTATCTGAAGTAAACGTGTCAGAAGATGGTTCTAAGAAAGAAGGTGAACAAGGTGATGGGCACGGGTACTGTAAGACAAAGAACATATCCAGGAGTATATTAAAAAAAAAAAAGTGTACAGAACATAGACCAAAATTAGGGGGTGAAACATTACACTGGGGCCCAAGGGGGAGGCAGGGATATTTCAACACCCTCCACTCCCCCACTTAAACCCATTTGGAGTTTCACCCCAAATAAACTGGATACTATCCTGGTACATGCTTTTTTTACTTTACCTCCGGGGAAAAGGGTTCGGGATAAAGTTTCATTTTAGAGGGGGTGGAGCAATTAGAATGATAGGGGGCATACAAATCAGAGTGGAGAGGAAAGGGCCTTCTGGGAAGTGTTGGAGAGGGGGAAAGGGAAGGTTTTGAGTGGTGGGTTTGAACTCCAAAAGGTTTGTAAGTGTGATAGGAGTTTCACATGTTAGCTTTCTTGCCTTACGTTTTTAAAAATGTAGTTTTTGCAAAGAAATAAAAAATTTTGTATTTGTTTTTTTGTATCATATTGCTGCTGAAGTGTGACAAGGTAACATTATAAAGGGCTTCGGGAACCCTACTTTGTTGGGGGGGACTTGAATCCGGTGGGGGGGAAATATGGTATCCGCAATCTAAAGGGACAGTGAGGAATTTTAAATTTTTTGGGGGGCAGGCTGTGATGTCAGCACATTTTCTGGGAAGTAAAAGTGAAAGTGCTCCATTTTTTTCCGGGTCCCATACCCTTGGTGAGAATTGACAAATTTTTTGAAGTCTCAGTGAGGGGCTTGACTTCTAGCGATTTTTTTGTGATAATTTTAGGAGTGAGTTAGGAAAAGGGATTTTTTAGATTGCCTTTGAAAAAGTAACTTTTTGAAGGGATTCGGGAACGGGTTTTAGCCGACTTGAGTCCTGGGGGAAAGTGCATTACTCTAAGGAGGGGGGAAAATGTTCATCATTAAACTGTATATAAACAGCCTGGGGTGCAAACAAAAATGGAGTGATGATGAAAGTGTTTTCTTTTTTTTTCTGGGTTTCCCTGCCTGGGAAAAAGTTTTATGTTTAAAAAATAAATAAATTTCACATTCGCCACTTTTAGATGCCCCTATTTGGAAATTTTTTGATATCTTTCCCTTTTTCCCCCTTTCCTCATAATAAGCATCATATAGGACTGAAATAAAAACCCAATTTTTTTCTGTCTACAAAGTTTTTTTTTAGATGCCCTTGTTTCATACATGACAGGGACAGATTCCCGAACGACCATTTGGCAAGAAAAAAGTTTTCCCTATTGAAAAAAATTAACTTTTTCAAACTACTTTGTTAAAGGAAAAAAACTGAGAAATTTTAAAAGTACAGTAATTGACTTGCTGTAAATAAATTGAAGTTTTCCTTTTTAAAAACCTCACATTCTTTGCCACATTTAAAAACATTTTTCCGAAAGTTAGACTGTTTTTTTTACCTTTAACTTACTCTGGTTTCGGCTAAAATTTTACCTTTAAAAACCCACAAATTTAAGCTGAAAACTTAAAACAAACATTAGTTTCAGCTCAATTTGGGACTATTTTAAATCCGTATTGTGACTGACTTTCTTTTTCATCACTTTTCTCTGCAGTTATTTTTTTCACCCCCTATTCCTGTACCTCATTGTCTATTTTGTCATAGATTTTTTACCTTTAACCCTTAAACGGTCCAAACTATAATACCCTTTTTACCCCAGTGCCCGAATATTTTTAAAAAAAAAAAAAAATTATTTAAAAAAAAAAAGCACATTTTTTTAAATGTTATGGGGTAAAAAAAAATTTTGATCGCATTTTTCCCGGGGAAAGAGGCCACAAAGTTGGGACTGGGGACACCTGGCGGCAACATGGGGCACTGCTGCTTTTCAGAAGTGTTTTCCGTATATCTTTTTTTTTTTTTCCCTTTTTCATATTTTATATAATTTTTATGTTCTGATAATTACAATTTTTAGTATTCTTTTCATTTTATAACCAATCTTTTTTCTGACACTAGTATTATACTGAATTTTACCACATGTCACAAACACATTTACAGGTGGGCATTTTTACCCGCCTTGGGCATTTAGGGTTTTCCCTTTTAATAACAAATATTTATATTCCCCCCCAATGTTCTGGATATGTGGAAAAGGGTTTAAAATGAGGGAGGAGGAGGGAAAGGGAGAGGAAGGGGGAGGGGAAAAGGGGGAGGGGAAGGAGGGGGAGGGGGGAAGGAAAGGAGGAAGGAGGGGGAGGGGAGGAAGGGGAGGGGAGGAGGAAGGAGGAGGAGGGGAAAGGAGGAGGAGGAGGAGGAGGAGGGGAATACATAATATAATATAATAATAAGTTACCTGAAACAAGAAAACAAAGTCCACCCCCCGACAGTGACGTGATTAGAAACATTTGATAAGACTGGTTTTGATAAACATTGGCAAAGGGGCCCTGATAAACTGATAAGAAAGATTAGGGCCTGCTTTGTTTTTGATGGACACAAATATGTCTGTCTATTTTTCTGCGTCAAGCTCTTTGTCTGTCTATCCTTCTAGCCTCTGTCTCAGAGAGAGCCACAAAACTGCTCTCATCCTTTTACTCACATCTTCAACAAGTAAGCACTTTTTCTGGATTTTTTTGGGTTATCCTGGTAATTCACTATGTAACTTGTATTATTGTACCTGTGAAACGAGATAGACAGACAATCAAAAAGACTGACAGAAAGACAGAGACAGACGGGGGACGAGACAGAGAGACGACAGAGATAGAGATAGACAAATACCACAGACAAAAAGATAAAGCCAACCCCCCAGCAGCTGGCCACCCCACAGCTGGGGCCAGCAGCTGGGTACCAACCACTAGCCAGCCAATCACCCGCCAAATTTTTTCTCTTTACTTAGGGCTAGGGTTTTAAAAACATTCTGAAGGGGTTCCAAATATTGCACATGGTTTTATCCAGGTTTTTTTATATTTCCCCCCACCACTTGTGGGGCCCCCCCCCTCAAACCACTAAACCAAGGGCAAAATCACTTTCCTCCCTTTAAAAGGGTTTTTGTTAATACTACATGACATCCATGAATCCCAGTGTTGATGCGCTTTTTCTCTACTCGCACTCATTTGAACTGTGCTCCCACAAGGTATAAATGGGCCCAATTTTTTAATACGCGCACCTGAGCGTTTAAACCCTTCTATCTGACAAGGGTCTCAGCCAATCGGCCAAATTTTAAGGGAGGAAAAAAAAACTATATATACGTTTGGGGCCTAGCGGTAAAAACAAAAATTTTACTTTGGACCGTTTTTCGGGTTTAAAACTTTTTTTACTTTTAAGATTTTCTCAGCCCTTTTTTTTCCTTTTACTGTTTTAGTTTTTTATCCTTAGATATATGTTTTCATTCCCGTCAGACATCTTATTCAGCTAAATTTTTGCTTTTCTGTAATTTTTACTAATGTTCATATTTACCAAAAATTTTCTTTATTGTTGTTTTGTAAATTTTATTTTGCTCATAAATACTGAACATGAATGTATTTTTTTTAAGTTATTTATTTATTGTATTTTTCTGTTTACTTTAAAATTCCTTTTTTTATAAATTTTTTCCTTCTTTTCTAGACTCAAAATCATAACAACACAGTTGCAAACAAACCATAATATGGGTGGGGTTAGAACCCATGGCAAGTGAGTTATGATGATGGCTTTGAGTTCATCATGGCCAAGCTGATGGGAGATTCATCTGTAAAAACTTGCATTTGTGGTCACAGTGGGGCCCATGCTAACCTCCCTGTAGTGTATATCTCTAGTTGGATGAATCTTATTGTAACCAGATGGCCCAGTGGTTAACGAACCTGCCTGTAGTTTTACGACTCATTTGCCAAGAGTTCTAACCCCACCTGTACTGTGGCTTCTTCTCTAGTATAACCTTTTCTTCCCTACAATATGTGGAAAATGGGGTAACAATTTAAATATAGTACTGTAGAAAGGAATGCTTTTGCTATTAACTGATAATTATTTTTCTCTAGAATCTTTGTTTAATGAGATTGCTGCTGATCTGTTTTATGCATTTTCATATTACTACTACCTGCACTAAATGCAACTTTGTTGTCTTGGGTGTCAGCATCAATTTTTAAGTGGTGATTAACTGTACTGTATTAACTCAGATTTCTAACTATTCTTTTTAACTTTTTCTTGCATTTCCTTCCATTGGCTTTATTCTTTCCATTAACTTGGCCATTTTTTTTATTCTGAAAATGTTTATTTTATTGTTGGCCCATTTGTTTCCTCCCATGTCAGTGATTCATCTACTATGACTTTTACTGATGTGTCCTTTTATTCGTAGTCCATTTATATGGTAATGTTTGGTTAACCCATCTGTATGGTCTTTTATTGTACTGTCCATATAACCTTACTTTGTTCTTCCTTCTAATTGGTGTTCTATTCAAAGATAGTCCTTGATTTTTCAGTTTTCTACCCTCCTTTTTCATTGCTTTTAATTTTTCTTCATTAATAATTTGTTGATTTTTGTCCAGCAGCTTCTTGTAAGTGGTTATCTGCTCCTGAATTTTATTCAAGTGATATTCAAGAGGAAATGTATGTCTTTGTGCTTCCTGTTCTTCATCAGAGCTGTGTGGGGAGTGCGGGTAATATACTGTTGTTACTGATGGTAGGCTTGTGGATGAACTTGAAAAGTCCTGGCCGTGTTTGTAATTTTCAAGATGCCTCCAAACTGGAAATTTTTCTGTTTGAGGGATTCTAGGGTTCTTAGGGACTGGTTTTTGTACATTCATCTTAGGTTTCCGTCCCCTTTTTTTACCAGGTTTGGGAGGTGGTGGTGGTGGTGGATAAAGATCCTTAATGAATTCTATTGGTAAAATCTGATTGGGCTCAAAATTTCTGTTTTGGATGGCAAAATTTCTTTTGATGCACACAACATCACCATTCTTGGTCAGTTCAAAGGATAAAACTTCTCTAGGTATCTTGCTGCAGCACATTTTTATGAAACGCAGAAGTGTTGACATATACTTTTCACAAACACTTGAATCCCAGTTAGTGTCCTGAAAACAGAATTTTAGTCATATATGTGCAGTAGATCCCCATATCTGTGGATTCTGTTTCAGCAGTTTCAGTTATTTGCAATTTACTGCTGCCTGAAAAATATTAAATGGAAAAATCCAAAAATAAATGATTCATAAGTTTCAAATGTATTTAGACTGTGTGCAAACATGATAGTTTTCATTGCTCCACTGTCCCTTGAGGGTTAAGATAAAATGTCAGAATCCCATTCATGAGAGAGAGAAAGAGAGAGAGAGATAATGACAGAACAAGTATATTAACCCTTAAACTGTCCAAACATAGATCTACGTTCACTCGCGTGGCGCTCCAAATATTTTGAAAAATAAAAAATCTTTTTTTTTTTCTTAAATGAATAGCACATTCTTCTACGTGTTATAGGACTAAAAAAAATTTTTAGGGTCAGTACTTACCGAGATATAAGACCGTGAAGTTGGCTCTGGATGCTCACCTGACAGCAACATCGACTCCTGCTGCTTGCAGAAGTGTTGCCGATATACCTTTTTTCTCGTTTTTATTTTAATTTACATATTTTTTATGTTCTGATAATTACAATTTATAATAGTTCTTGTGATTTCATAGCCAGTCTTTGTTCTGACACTAATATTAGGTACGAAATAGTGCTCAAATAGTCAAAATCACATTACAGGGAATATTTAAAACCTCCGGGGTTATTTACTTTTGTCAAAATTAACAAAATTTATGGTCCCAGCTGTTTTAGATACCCGGTGAAACCCTTTGAAGCTGGTTATGAAGGCATCCTTATATGTTGACAGCCCAATGCTTTTGATAAATGCCCACGCCCACACCCCGCTGTATTTGTTATACTGTTACAAACTGTCTTGTCTCTGTCGTCGTTTTGCGCTTTCGTCTGCCGGGAGTACTATATGATATAAAACTCCTTGAAGATGGTTTTACGAAAACTGTTGACAGGTCTAAATTTTGAAAAAGGGGTGCGGGGGAACCCTAGTTTATTGTTTTCACTGATACCACAAACATTTTTGTCTGTCGTCTATCACCATAAGTCAAACATCTTTCCCTAAATTTTGGTTTTATCCTGGCCGTCCCTGCCCCTAATACAAAGAAAAAAGGAACACTGCCGCAGGCCTACGGCCCATGCAAACAGCTATTCCCCCCCCAGTTTAGACCAATTACCCACCTATCAGGTCACATCCACTGAAGGAAGGAGAAAGACATCAGACCTAGCAGCACAAGCTATCAGTCCAACTCAACCCCCCCACACTCACTCAGTTTTACTAACCTTTTTTTATTTTCCCTTAAAAAAGGGAGTGTTAAGCACAGGGAAACAGTGAACCTTTGTGTTTGCATGCTATTTTCTCTGCGACCAATTTTAACTGGTGTCCCACAAGGTCCAAATGGGGGTCCCAATTTTTTTTAATACTGTCCAGACCCATTCTTTTTGTCAGGCGACTAAGCCTATTGGGGCAAATTTGAAAAGGGTGAAAAAAAAACGTTGATCTACGTTCAAACGCTATTGGGCAAACATAGATTTACGTTTGGACGTTTTAAAGGGTTTAAAGTACAATACATTTTTTTTTATTTTTGTTGGAATGTCTTATTCGCAAATTTTTCAATTAAACTTTTTCCCAATAATAAAAACTATAAAAATACTTTTTTTCAGCTAGACAATGTTTTACAAAGGGGAATGAAATTTGGGGGTTTCATGCGAAAGCCCCTTAAACCCTTTTAGGGGCCAAGCCCCAAAAACGAAGTCACGCACCATGCCAAGAAATTTTGAAAAAAAAAAAAAATTATTTTTCTACAAATTAAAGAGCATATTTTTGTGAAGGGAAAAAACAAAAAAAATTAGAATCTGACATACTTACCCAAATACGTGCCAAAAGTTTTTAGAAAAAGATGGGTGGCGGAACATCGACGAATTTTCCCATACGCGATTAATTTTTTTGTTGTTTTTTTTTTTTTTTCTTTTTTTTCCCAAATTTTTTTCTTTCCCACTAACATTTTGGGGGCCTAAAGACCAATACTGATATAATTTAATATATAAAACTCACTGAATGAACACAAAAACCGCACAAAGTTTTTATCATATTATTGTTTACCACTGTTGTTTATTACAATAAACAGCACAAATATTGTATAATACTAATTTCATCAATTTTTACATATTTACAATCAGGGGAAATGGTTTTTAAACTGCGGGACTTGTGGAACCCCTTTGAAACAAGGCCCAGGCACAGAGGCCCCTTACTTTCCTCACACATAAACCGAGGTCTTGCGTTTTTGTTGCCGGTTTTTTTGTCCAGACAATCATCCTTCTGAGCAAATTTCTTTTGATTTTAAAGGGAAGCTGTATTATGAAATGACACCTTCTCTTCTCAAACGTTTGGTATTTTGTGATGAATTCGGGGACCATTTGTTTTGCAGTGTTGTTACCGGGTATTCATTATGAGTTGTCTGACAACAGACAAACAAAATTCACCATAGGGTGGTCTGTTCCATCTTTATTTGGTACATATTAATCATTCAGCATTAAATGCCCGAGATGGAAGAAAATTTTTCATGTACCACTTGTAACTCTTACGAACACAGCCCAAAAAAACCAATCTGCATGTCAATTTTTAAAACCAAGCGCATTTTTTGTGTAAAATCAATCACTGTCACTTTTTTTCGAATACTTCATTAGTCACTCGATCAACTTTCCCCACGTCTTGCTTTTCTTTACGGTGATGGTTGTCAAAAATGTGACATCTCTTTTGTCATCCACCGAAACCCATGATGCATTGGCGAAACACCTGACGTCATCACCACAAACACCTGCTTGCCTGGCAATGTTTACGTTAGAACGCACTGTGCAACACATCGTCTTGTCACTCGCAGAAATCACTGATTAAAATGGGCTTGTGTACCAGTTATGGGTATAAAGTATGGCCCTTACCAAGATAAGGTGCCATCATGTTCCCCACACGTCCCCTGAAAACCCAATAACATCTTTGGTATCTTTCAATGTTTTACTACCCTGTATACAACAATATCCAACACCGGCCCTTTTCCAATCACAGAGTAAAAAAATTTTTTAACCCAAAAGGGTTCCCTTTCTTATATACTGTTTAAAAGACAGCTCCCTTTGAACAAAATCAAAGACCGTAAAATTTACAAGATTCTTGAATGGAAAAAAGTATATCCTAACTTTTGTTTAGTACATAAAACTTTTCTAATTTTGTATAACCTGTCACTTCTGCACCGGTTTTGTAAAAAGTCAACAACTAAGAAAGATAAACCTTTTACTGGTATTATTTCACTGAAGAGGGGACAAATTACCGATCGGGAAAAAAAAAAAAAAGATCTTTTATTTTATGCTTTAGCTGAGGCAAAACATTTTTTTGCAAAAAGCAAATACATTTCTGCAACATCGTCTTTTTCCCCCTGGTAGTCTTGACTGGGGATAAGATCGTATTGCCGGGGGGTATGAAAATACTTTTATTTCCCCTGAAAAAGTTTCCATCAATGGCGGGGTCAAAGAAAAATTCAAAAAATTCCATTCATTGGCCGGTTCCAAGGGCAGGTGGGTAAATTTCCCACTTTGCGAGTCACAAGTGGAGGGCGGAAAAAAATTGGGATTTTGCTGCCTCCCAATAGGGTTTTGCTGGGGGATACGGACATCATGGCGGGTTGTAGGGGTGGTTGTGGCGGGCTGGGGGTGACGCTCCGCTTTTTCCTTGAACTGACGAGTCAGCACGTGGGTTCCCGCGTGGCCAGCGAGTCACGCAGCGTGCCCCCTACCACCACCGCCCCACTAACACCCTCCCTGATTCTGTGGCCCATCCAGCCAAGTGTACCCCATCATCCCCACTATCACTACCTAAAACGGGTGTAGGCCACGGATGTACTCCGGGGTGTACTACGGGGTGTACTCCTCCCTGGGGATAGCAAGGGACACTACCCACGCACGGGGGCGCACATACCGACGCTTCACTGGGAAAATTTTCCCACTATCACTACTCGAAGATCGTCGAGCGCAATAAAATCCAAACCACTCAGAATATCGTCTTTTTGAAGTCAAGGGGCCAGGCCACGGGAAAAAATTAGTTTTCTCTTACTTTAGGAACAACCGACCGTAGTCACGAGTGCCCACACCAAGGGAGAAGGTCAGGACCGGGGTTTTTCGCACATTTCGATATCCTGGTCATTATTTTTGGGCACTAACTCTCAAAGCCGTAGAATTTGTCTTTATTTCCACTTCCTCAGTGTCAGAACATCAACAGGAAGAGGGAAATCCCAATTTTTTCCGGGGGGTGAAGCTACTTGCGACAACATGGTAACAAGGGGGACTGACCGGGGTTCCCCCCAATGCTATGCAGGCGCCTAGATTTTTTGTTTACGGGGCCCCACCCCCCGCCAGACCCATTCCTCAAGTAGGCCCATGAGCGCTTTTTGCCTAAATTTTACGGGGCAGAATTTTTTTGGGGGTAATCTAGGTTTGGACACCACCCACCCGCCAGTCTACGGACGGACCCCGAAAGGTTAATTTGCAAGCATTTCGGCAAACAAACATCTTAAAATTTAAAAAGGTATAACAAAATAGTAATTTTTTTACATCATTTACTTGGGTGAGTTTTTAAATTAAATTTAGGGTTACAATGATACAGAGAACTGAATATCCAAATTCCCTAAATGGCTTTTATCAATTTAAATTTTGAAAGGAATTACAGTTTGGGGAGATTACAATGATAGGATTCTAAATATTAACATAAAGGGACACAACAATGTTTTAAAAGTTTGGGCAATTTCAGATAAGAGAGTAAGATTATAAAAAATGGTTTCAAAAGTTTTTTTGGCTTAGGGGAAGGATGGGTGGTGTGTTAAAAAAATTATGAAAAAAATCTGTGTAGAAGTGCCTGACAGTTCAAAACCCCGTTGTTCAAGGGGTTTACTGTATACTTAATATTTTAGAACAAGTTGGTGGAAAATTAGCAAAATTTGGGGCATGAATTTTCTTTCCCTT